CAGAAAATGGACGGACGGACAGATGGACGGATGGTTGTTCTTCATCATTCCACAGTTTGAACACTTTATGGCCCTAAAGCGACCCACATGCCCAGAAGAAGACATCCGCCACATCAGCTTCCAGTGGTCCTTGACCTTGAGGACCCCTATCCTGCATGTTTCAGCTTCTGTTGTTCAGCAGGTCTTCAATTTTTGCCAACACATTCTCACTCCCGAGTTGTGACGACTCGGGAGTGAGAATGTGTTGGAGAATGGGTTGTTTCTGCAGAAGCCTGTTAGTCACTCATTCATTCAAATCAGGTAGATCAAAGCAGGATATTTTGTCAATACTTTAAATAAACATGGGAGCAAAAGTTCACTTTTTTTGTTGGAAAAATATTAAAAAAGAACAAAAAACAAAATGCTTTCTTGCTATGTTGCTGCGTCAGTAAAACCAACAATAAAACTGTTTGGGTCTCCTTTCGTGGCAGATTTATGACAACTCGAGCCACATAATTTAAGTGAAATTAGACGTAACATGGATGAAAGGGACACAAAGCAACCAGCCACTGCTGTGCAATGACAAACTGCTGGAGGCTGCAAACATGAAGGCTTTGGTGTCGAAGGGGCCACCGAGCAGCCGGGTGGCCAACAGAAGCAGCAGAGAGGCCCAGGGACCGGGTGGTGGGAAGGACAGACAGGCAACAGAACAAGCCCATCGTGTTCACATTTATTATGGCTCTATGGTCGCAGCAGCTTTTTTTTCCCAGGCCCTGCTGGTACAGGAACACTCTTCTTACCTCCTGCTGAGGAGGTAAACAATGGAAAGAGGCTCGGAATTGGAAACTAGTTGAGGTTTGGTTTCAGAGACTTGTGGGCTCTCGCTGAACCAGAGAGAAGCAGGATATGATCCCAAGATGTCTTATCTGATTTAAAGTATTTTCTAATCACAACCAGGAAGCAGAGAAGCAGAAAAAGAGGCAACTCTTTATGAATGAAGCCATTTTTATGCTTTTCTCTTTTTGATTTTTGATTACAAAACTGGCAAACACGTAGAAGCTTTCTTTATAAAAAAACAACAGGACTTTGGTAAAAACTTGAACTAAACCCACATATTTATTCCTCTTAACATAAACAGCACATTCAGGACAATAATCTCTGCAGATCCTTATAAAACGCTTCACCAACAGTTTGTGACTCAACACTTCTAAATAGAAAAATCTGCAGATAATTTGTTTTTCATGGTCAAATAAATCAATGAGCAGCCAAAAACCACCAGGACACTGATTCTACAAAAAAAGAAAAGAAAAGAAAAGAAAAAGAAACATTCCCCACAGCTGCCCATGTTTTATTTAATCAACAACAGTTTATTTTAAGTTTACACTTTATTTAAATAAAGTATCAAGTCTCTTTGTGGCTCAAATTTCCCTATGTCTCTCTACGATATGAACCATTATGCCTCTAAATTACAGCCCTAAACTAATTTTGAGCATTCCTCAACGTTCACAGCCTTTTGTTGCTCTCGTCCCAGCTTTTTTGGATGTGGCAGGCATTAAATTCAAAGTGGGTGAATATTTGAAAAAAACAAAACAAAACAAAATAGTTTGTCCATTTGAGCATTAAATATCTTGCAACGGATTCAACTGAAAAAAGGTTGAAAATGATTTTCAAATCATTGTTGTCTGTTTTTATTTATGTTTCACACCACTTCATTAGAATCGGGGTTGTAGATGTGGTTGGATGAAGAGCAGTTTGTAATTAATTCTGTCGTTGACTGTGTTTGTGACGTCCTGCCAACAGATGTTTTACGTTACAGATGTTAAACTCTTCCCTGATGCCTCTGTTTGTCAGCTGTGGAAGGTTTGAAAAAGCAGCAGGTGGTCTGTTTTCCAACGATGTGGTCACTTCAGTACAACCTGTGAACCTGCTTCACCTTTGACTGGATTGGCTCTACAACTTTCAGCTGAGTTCAGGGTGGGAAAAATGCTTTTCCTTGTAGGTTTGTTTTTTTGGGGGGGTTGTTTTGTTTTAATTTTCAGAAGTCCTGAAGGTGGTACAGTACTCTGTTTTACAGCCTGAGAGACTTTATGATTAGGTGGAGAGAGCCCAACAGCACTCTGGAAAAAGAATTAAGCAAAATATAAGTTTCAGAAATGTCACAGTCTGTCAAACACATTGTTGAACGCTAAGTGGATGTTCTCATCGACTTAATGACTCCTGGAAATTAGTCACACAGAGAGGACAACAGGTTGTTGTTGTTGTCGCACAAATGACCCAACTTGACCCTTCAACACATCCTCTAAAGAACCCAGAACCACCTTCCCAAAAGGCTTGTTTTCTGTTGATCCAAACATCAGCAATTTTTTGACAAATATAAAAAAACACAAAAACAAACATTTAAGTCTGCATATTATTCCTGAATCTCTCTTTAAATCTAAGGATTAGTAATTGAGATCCTGATGAATCACAGGAAGTTGTTTCATAATTAAAATATGAAGGAAATTAAATAACATAACAAAAATGTAAAGTGAACAAATGAGCAGAATCTGTTTTTAGTGACACAAAGACTCTATTCTGTTTTGTCACCAAATAAAGAGTGACAAAAAAAGAAAAGAAAAGAAAAGAAATGAAAAGAAAAGAAAAGAAAAGAAAAGAAAAGAAGAGAAAAGAAAAAAACAGAAAAGAAAGCCCAACTAGGACAACTTATTAAATAACAGCACCATCTAGTGGACATGTTTGTGCACAAACACGTTGGCTCAGAAAATAAGTTGAAATGAAAAAGGTTTCAGAATTTTGTTTTGTTTTAGCCCCCCCCCCTCCACACACACACACACACACACACACACACACACACACACA